GTTGGGGGTTCGTCTTGGATAAGCTTTCGTTGACAGTGGAAGTGGGTTCCGAGAGGGGGTTGAAGCCAGCGGAGCCTCCTGAGCGGTCGACAGCCTTTCCTTTCCCTGCTGAAGGAGATTCGCCGCCTTCGGTAGGTTTGAGAGTGTGAGGAAACACAGCGCTCTTCCGCGAAGCCTTTTCCGCCTTCTTCGCTTCCTTTGCTTTCTTCTTTTCATCCTTCTTTGCCTCTTTGGCAGCTTCCTTCTCCTCCTTCCTCTTGCGCTCCTCTTCCTCTGCCAGGCTCAGTCGAATCGCTTCCATCATCATGAGCTCTTCGAGATCTTCAAGACGATTAGCACGTCGAGAACTTTGCCTCCCAGGGAAGAGGTCGGACGAGCCTTCAACTCTGTTCGTGGAAGGAAGTCCGCTGCCTTCACCTTCCCGGCGAGGTGTACCCTGACCGCTGCTGCCAGCGCTGTCGCTGGTGAACATGGTCCGCCTTCGCCTTCCAAGGCCGAATCCACGACTACCTGAAGCCTCAAGATTTCCCATCATGTAGGCAGCGTTGTGAAGAGCAGTGGCTGCCGCGGCTTTCCTCAAAGCCAGAGCTCGTGCGTCTGCCAGCTTCTTAGACCAGTCGGGTCGAACTCGATCCGTCGTAATGACAGAGCTGTCGTTGGCAGCCAGCGAAGTTGCTCGTCGTCTCCCAGTAGGTGGATTCCCCTGGGAGTTCAAGGAAGTCGATGAAGACATGGCAGAGGTGGCACTAGCCACACGGTTATGCTGATTTGGGTACACCAGCCCCCTTCTGAAGGGGGGCGGCTCGTATGTCACCCCAAAGTCCGGCTGAACGCAGAAAGGGCAGGAAGCTGGCTCGGAGACCAGCTGAACATCATCCGCCGGCTCGCTCGACTCCGCAGTTGGATTGTTTGGATCGTGGTGTTCAGGTGGGTGTGGGTCGGGCCGCTTGATCTGCACAAAACATTCGGAGCATATCGGTTGGTCGCAGCATCGGGTCTTGTTCAGATATGGCGGGTAGTAGAGGAAGCAGATAGGACATTCAGCAGCGTCCTTGTAAAGGAACACTTCGATTCTTTGACCATTGATGTATGGATCTTTCGGTAGCATCATCTCCTGTTGTACCATTTCTGTCTGAGAGCTGCTGCGCGAGCCAGTAGTGAGGGCCGCCAGTGTCTTCGCACGCCCGCGGAAGAAGGGTGACGAGGATGAAGAGGTACCTGCTGCTATGGGAGAGCTTGGTGAAGGCAGCGAGAAAGCAGGATGGGAGGGCGAGAGGTTCGCGGAGCGGTCAGAGCCTTGCGATAAAGACCTAGAGCTGATGGGAACGGTCAGATTGTTGATATTAGCACTAGATCCACGAGGACTCCAGTCGGCGCTGAGATTAGTCGTCGGCGAAGGCTCGTCAGGAGGAATCTCGTCTGGCGCCGGCAGTGGAAGGTCGTTCACCACAGCGGTCAGTTGATGCTCAGTCCACGTATCCGAGTGGTCATTCAGACCCTTCCAGAACGGAGCCAGCCGTCTCTCGATCTGCAAAGCATTAGTTTAAGTCCACTTTACCATATGACATGTACCCACCTGCAACTGCCGGACGACAGGCTTGCTGAAGTCTTCAGGGCCGGTGTATGTTCCGAGCGTCACCAGATAGCCTCCATCCACACTCTCCTCCCGAATGCTGCGCTCCCGTTGTTGTGCGCGAAGAATGCGTTCTTTTTCGAGTTTACGAGCTTCTCGTTCTGCTTTGGTCTCCCGCCGAGGCTCGAGAGCAGGGTCACGTTCCGAGTTTCCACCGATACCAAGAAATGTAGACAGATCGGGTCTGCTCCCCCGTCCGCTTCGGAAAGCGTACACGGGGTTCTGAGACGTGTCTTGACGGGACGGACCGCTCGCTTCAGTGGGCTGCGATGCTGCATATGCGCCCGGCATGCGACCGCTTGACGACTGCGGCTGGCCACGAGACGAGCCCGGTCGCGACTCTCGCCCTTGACTGTTTCCCATGATGATACTGAGCTGTGGTAGAACGAGGGCGGTGGATGGGGCGTAGTGCTCGCGGAGGAGACGGCGAGATGGTCAGGGCGCAGGGACAATCGACGAGAGCTGAAGCGTTATCGAGGGTCCAGATGGGACTTTTTTGAGAGACTGAGGAAGCCAGAGATAGCGAGTGTCACGCGGACATTATAGCATGCTCAAGTGATGATGCGAGACAGCCTGTGCCGTAGGAGCCGGTCAAGGGATGTGCCTCGTTTGGCCACAGTTGGTGTAAACGAGCCTATCCTGCATCTGCAGGCGTGGCAGGCCCGGGGTGCAAAGGTCGGTCGAGGGCAGGTTCGAAGGGTGCTCAGAGCTGGTCGGGTGTGTCAGGAGGGTCGGCGCGAAGGGGAAGATTGATGTTTCCAGGTTGTTGCACGCTTGCCTTGGCTGATGGCGTCGATCGGCAGCGGGAGCGGCGGGGAAGGAAAGCGCGCTAGCCCAGGGCGGTCTAGTCTCTTTGTGCACGATCAATTGATGTTTGCGGTCGTGGCACAGTACAGCGAAGACGACACACAATCTTGACACGCTGTGACCGCGCGGCTCTCCACCTAAAGCAGGCCAGCTGGGCGACGATGCCGGAGTTGGGCTGAGACTCTCTGTTGGACGTGTGCTCAAGAGGAACTGAGGCTGACATTGGCCGTCTAACATTAAGCCACTGCTGACGCCTTGCAGCTTTCATAGACAGCACACCCATGAAGCTGGATTATGCATCGCCTGGGTGTGTCATCGTCGCATGACCCAAAAGATTTACAGGCTGAGCCGTGATTATGGCTACTACTGTCGAACATGCATCTAACGCAATATCTCTGATCAGGATGAACCCGGACTGCCAGGTCACTCCTCGAGAAGACCAAATGTCCACGATGCCTCCCAGTGGTATTTCTGTCCCGGTCCGAAGATCTGTTTGTCGAGGCGACCCCATTCAGGACTGGCTTGCTTAGCAACGATGTCGTCTCGGACAAGACTAGAGTACTTACTGGTTGATTCCGTCGACGTAGTCCTGCGCTTCAATGGCGACACAGCCGTCACGCGGAATATACTTGTCCTGGCCCTCGATGCCTTGAGTTTCCTTGAACTCGGTCTTGCCATCGTTCCAGTTGCAAGTGTAGATGACAATGCCGTCCTGATTGGTGCGGAGGTCCGCCTTGATGCCGTTCCAGGGGCTGGCTAAAGTTGCTACGACAGCGTCCTTGGGTCGATCGAGGTCGAAAGCCCAGTTGCCATTGTAGCCATGGCAGCCGTTGCCGCAATGGTTCTCAAACTCGGGATTCCCGGACGCAAAGCCAAATTGCTTGGGCGCCGACCAGAAATCGTCAATGGCTCCTTTACCGACCATGGCAATCTCACCCGTGGGAAGAGCGTTCTGGTCAGCTAACATGACGCGCTTTGCGTAGGGCATGTGGAACGTGTGGTTCCAGATGGTCCTGTTGTTGCTTGGGTTGGAGAAGGCATCCAGCTGGAAGTAGGTGTGTTGAGTGAGCTGGATCGGCGTCTTCGCCTCGGGCGAGATGGCCTCCATCACAATCTTCCACTTGTTGGCTTCAACCGAATACGTTACGTTCGCCTCAACGCGCCCAGGCATACCTGTGGAATTGGCAGGATCGTGAAGGCTAAAGGTGATCGACTTCTCGGTCACCTCGCTTACATTCCAGGTACGGAAGGACCAGTTGTTCGGGCCACTGTGCAGTGTGTTGGGTCCATCGTTCTTGACGAGGTGGTAGGTGACATTGTCGATGGTAAATTGTCCATTACCGATGCGGTTGGCATAGCGGCCTGGAATGGCGTTGTACACGGGGTGTCCCGGATCAACAGCTGCAGTGCGTCAGTTCAAAGGACCCATAAAGGAAGCCATGCATACGATAATATGAAGTGTTGTCGTAACCGAGGACGATGTCCCGCTCGACGCCGTTCTTGTCTATGAGCTTGTCAGTAAGATCTCTGCAATTGAGCCTCTCAGCTTTACCCTTAACAAAGAGATTGGTCAAAGTGGCCGCATACGGGATGAACTGGACTTGGTCAGTGGTCACTGCTACCTAGGAAGCTCAAGCACGATTGCACGGCCGGCAGAAGCGATTGGCAAATAATGGCGAAATCCAGGCCTCAAAACAAGCCATGTGTTGCACCAGCAATGCGCTGTGAGTTGAGAAAAGAGTGAGCACCTGAGCCTTGATTCCTGGAGCCTCCAAAGTATATCTCCCATCAGCGTCCGGCTTGGGCTCCGGCTTGATGACAGCAGCAGAAGCGGAGGCGGCGAGGAGATAGTATGGAAACCTCATGTTGGGCGGGTCCTAGACGACGAAGACTGATGTAGCGTAGGTGACGGGCAACCTCGTGGAGATGGCCCAAAACCATGATACTTATACGGCGAGGCCAGGAACCAGGCCCGTCGGTAAGGAGCAGATTCATCTGTGGAATGAAATGCCATGTTCTACTGGTGGCTGCTGGAAGTCGTCCGTCGCGACCAATATAGCTTTAATCTGCTTGAAATCAGACCCCAGCATTTCCAGGGACCAGAGGGGTGAGACGGGTGTTTACCTCGGGCTTGTGCAACTTCGTGCTTACCGGTAGTTTGATTCAATGAACAGTTAGCAGCCGACTTACATATGTGGGGTAAGCGGAGTCCGAGGTAGAAGATGCGGTTACGGGTGGACGATACCCCGGTTAGGTGCCGGACTAGGATCAACATCGTGTTGAGCTTTATGGACCCGACGCTCGGAGCACCCACAACATACCCTATAGGGTACTCCAAAGCACACTTCGATATCGGAAATGCGGTGCAGTTTGGATGGCAGGCGATCCTTCTACCCTCTCTCTTAATTATACTCCCTCCCCTAGGTAACTGACTCATAAGCCTACAAAGATATGATAGTCATGCTCGAGAACAACAGCGGGGAAAAAAAGTATGAAGAGCTTGCTTGAGCCAGCCAAGAACAAGTAAGAAGAGCTTGAGCCAGCAAAGATAGAAAACGAATTCCGACACCGGGAATTGAACCCGGGCCTTGCCGGCGCTGCTCAAGCTGGGGGTGCTTGATGAGAGCGGCAAATCCTAGCCACTAGACCATATCGGATATGTTTGATGAAGAAATGGTGATGATAAAAAATTTATGAAGTAAACTTTTTGTTTCTCCAGAACCAGCAGCAGAAATGAAGAATAATGTGATGAAAAGACCCTATGATAAACGAAAAGAGAGGAAGCGGTGTCAACCTGGGGAAGTAGAGTGTGGGTCCTACTTCCTCTCTTACTGCACTGCATACGGGTTCCCCCCGATGTCGGGAGGTGCGCTGGCATCGGCTACCGCTCTTTGCTTGTCGGGACCAATCTTCAAGCAGACACCGATACATGCTACGCTGCTGTTCAGTAGTGGAAAGTACTTTACCCCTGGACTTTCTATTCCTGTCAATGGGTCAATTTGCGGGGCGCATGGCATAGCGGGGTACCTATGGACGTCATCACCGCAACATCTTATCTCGTGTTATACACAAAATAAAACTCTTGTGTTTCCAAAGTTCCATTTCTCTTATCTCTCTCGACAAACTCGCCAGACGCAGCAGCCTGACTCGCAGCATAGGCTGAAATCCCCAATACCAAATCCGACACCGCCTGCCTCAGGAACGACATCGGCAACGTCTAATTGTAAAGATCGGCGGCCCGACTACGGCAACAGGAACCACACGCCAGTACTGGATTGGAAGGGACCCTGAACTTTTGTTGCAACACGTCACTGTGAGGAGCATAAAGTGCAGTGCTGCCGTTAAACTACAAACGCCGTCTTTGATACCCTTCGATCTCAATTGACCCCCGTTTACGACTCATCAAAGCCACACCCCTCAAAATGCCCGACAAAGCCGCCCTCCTCATCGGGCCCCTCGTCCACGCCCGCTCTGAATGGGCATCCGTTTCCAAAATCACGTCAAAACTGCACGAATACCCCGATGGCTCACGAGACGACTTCCTTTCCAAATGCCGTTCCGGGGAATACGACGATGTGTTCGCGATGTACCGGAGCAACGACTCCAACCGCATCACGGGAAACTTCGACTCCGAGCTGATTTCTGCGCTCCCTTCATCATTGAAGTACATATGTCATAACGGCGCTGGCTACGACAATATCGATATTGCGGCGTGTACAGAAAGAGGGATTCAGGTGTCGAGTACACCAATTGCGGTGAACAATGCGACGGCTGATGTGGCCATGTTTCTGGTGCTGGGTGCGTTGAGGAATGTTACGCATTGTTTCCAGGCTGTTAGGAAAGGTCAGTGCTGCAGACATGTCGAGTTCCCAATGCGTTGAAATTGCTGATCACTCCCACAGGAAAATGGCGAGGTGACTTCAAACTCGGTCATGATCCCAAGGACAAAACCCTCGGCATCCTAGGCATGGGCGGCATCGGCTCCGCACTCGCTGTCCGAGCAAAAGCGTTCGGCATGAACATCCAGTACCACAACCGGCACCGACTACCCGAGCAGCAAGAGAACGGCGCGAAATACGTTGGCTTTGATGAACTCCTGGAGACATCAGACGTGTTGAGTTTGAATCTCGCACTTAGTGATTCAACAAGACACATCATCGGAAAGAAAGAATTCGCTGAGATGAAAGACGGCGTGGTGCTGGTCAATACAGCGCGGGGCCCGTTGATCGACGAGGAAGCGTTAGTGGAGGCGTTGGAGAGTAGAAAGGTGTGGACGGCCGGGTTGGATGTGTTTGAAAAGGAGCCAGAGATACATGAGGGGCTGTTGAGGAACGAGAATGTGGTGTTGTTGCCGCATATTGGGACAGCCACATTTGAGACGCAGGTGAGTGTTGCCTTGAATACGTTCCTGGTAGAAATCTGCTGATTTGGAACTAGCGGGATATGGAGTTGCTGGTTTTGGATAACCTGAGGTCGGCCATCAAGGAGGGGAAGCTCTTAACGCAGGTCCCTGAACAGAAGAAGGATTCGTGATTTGCAGACCGGTGGATTCGGTAGTGGCAAACAACAACAGTACGGCAGATAGCAATGTCACGCATCAGTATACGGAAGATAAGACGGCTGACGAGGGTTTGAGTCGTGATCATGCCTTGCAAAATTGGAATGGGCTGTATCGCTTTAGGAGGCACAGCGTCCTAGCCGACGCCTCATTCCGCTCCTTGTGTGATGTTGGTGTTATGTGCTAGCTGGCGTGTCGCGTTGGAGTCTATTTCTCTTGATACGCGCCCAGTTTGTTAGGATCATCCCAGTTCAAGAACTCGCCGCTGAGTTCCTTGGGCGCATCTACCGCCAGCTGAGCGATGACATGGCCAGGTTGTTCTGGTCTCAGAAGTCCGCCTTCTCTCTTGAGCCCATGAAACTTCTCGGCATCCTTGGAGCTCATTCGCGTATGATGTTCCTCCCGAATTTCTCTCTGCATCTCTGTATCTACCACGCCGGGTCGGATGGAGATACTTGTAACATCAGGCTCCTCCACAGTCAATGTCATGGCTAGATGGTTGAGCACTGCTTTGGAGGCACCGTAGGCTCCCCACCCTTGGTAAGCACCGAGGGCCGCCCCGGAGGAAACGAGCAAGATACGTCCATTTGTGCGTCGTAGGTGAGGCAATGCAGGACTGATCTTGAGGTATGTCAGCTAACAGCGTCGAGACAAGACGATTGAGATCAGATATCAGATACAATCCGTTGAGGTCACATGACAACATGGTTTTCAAAAGAGTTCACATACCAGTGCGATGGCGCTGAACGCATTGATGTCAAAGCCTTTTCTCCACTCCTCGGCGGTTACATCCGCGATCCTCTTTACAGGATCCAGGGTGCCGTGGTTTACGATCACGCCATCAAGCTGGTTCCAGCGTGAGATGGCTCGTTCGACTGCTTTTGCGCCCAACGAGAAATCCGAAAGATCGCCTGCCAGAACTTCTACGCCATCAGGGTAGCGAGACTTCAGCTTCTCCAAGGCAGATTGTGTTCGCGATACAAGAACGAGCTTGTGTGAGCGTGAGAGGAGGTAATGGGCTATCGCCTCGCCGATGCCTGAAGAGTGTTAGATCGAGATAGGGCAAGACAAATTCAAGGGGTCATTTGAGAGCATTGCAGAAATAACATCTGACAGCGCGCTTCTTCCCAAGATGTTCGTTGCCAGTGTCCAACACCAATTGACCTTAAATGAAAGTTCTGGGCTTTCTAAGTCCTACTCACCCCTTGAAGCTCCCGTAAGAATGATCACTTTTCCGGTCATGATTTCGATGTACCCGAGTTATTGTTGGGAGAGAAGTCAAGCATGGTCGACTGGTATTTCGGTACATACATACATCGTCATATTAGTAAGCAGAGACCCATCAATGATCAACCGCCATTCACGGTGTACCTGCATTTGCACCTGCCGGCTTTTGACATGTGCTTTTGTACACAAAATGCTCTTGGCTTTTGACGAGTCTCCCCATCTGATAATAATCTCATTCGCTGAGTTCACCCCATGACAGTCGACACGGTGACGTCATTGCTGCTACTTCCTCACTTAGCCTCAGCCATTGCCAGCTTTGTCTCTGCTGTTCTTCTTGACACTTCACACCCTAACTTTTACGTATTACTTTTTACAATCGAGCTCCTACAATCCGTACCTTCCAGTAAACCTACAGTCACGAAGCAACACATCTTGTCTTTAACAACCCGTCCCCAAGCCATATCAACAATGTCCGGTCCGGGCGCACACGCAGGCAGCTCCGCTGGCAATGCTCTTCGCAAAGGTGTCGGCATGTTCCATGTTCGTGATTGCCCCTGTCGTCTCTTACAATCGTCTGACTAGAAATAGGGAGCCGGTGAGGCGATCCGTGGAAACATCAACGCAGCAGTCGATAGTGCGGCGGGCGATAAGGACGCCGTAGCCCGAGACGAGGCGATTGCCAGCCGAGGCGCCGATGAGATGGACCGCGGTCATACACACTCTCATACCGCAACAACCGCACCCGCGACAACGGGCGCTCAATCCTCCACTGTCCCTGGCACAGCCGCCTCAGCAGATGACACCGGGATCGGTATGCGTAGATAAATGTCGTCCTGAATATACTTATACCCTCATCGTCTCACTCCCTACCCTTCCCAATATCTTACATCTCCAACGTACCCAGACATGAGTCAAGCGGCGCATATGGTCGTATCCTCAGCCTGATTTGCTGATGACATAGACCGGCCCAGAGCGAGCTCAGAAGGGAACAATCAACCTAAGTCCCCCACGGAATACCTTGGATATACCTACCGGTGCAAAGACTGTGGTTCTACCAACGTTTTTTACGACAGGGGAGCTCCCACCGAACAGCCACCCCCGAAGCATGTCTCCGAACTGATGAATCGAGTGGCATGGACAAGACCCGAGACTACGCCAAACAGGGATCAGGATTGCGATGACCGCCGGCCAACAGAGTCCGCACATGGACACATCCATATGAGAAACCTGCTCAACAAGCCTCACGCACCATACGGTACGCCAAGATTCTGATTATCTTCCTGGTGGCTGCCTAAGATCTCTACTCAGGAAATTCGAGACTCGCGAGACCTGAGCCCGGGGTTCGAAGAGAGTCCGAACCGATGCTCCCCTATACCACGGCATACCAAGATATGGTAGTGAGACATGGTCTTCAGGCAAGCGGAAGGGTCTAGATTGGCAAGTCTGTACGACTCCGCACGAGTGCGACAGTAGCCAACATGTATAGCTGGCTTTGCTCCTATCACAACATCCTCAAGTTCAGTTAAATCCGCATTTGTATAAGACGTAGTGACATGGTATCTATTCAGCATCGAGCGCTTGACAACAATGCTCTACCGTTTAGACCACAGGAACGTTCGCTCTTAGTGTATCCTCATCTACCTCTTACCCTTGGAACTTCGCCGTCTTATGCACCAACCGACCCCTAACCCAAACGGCGACGCAGTTTCGATCGTCTCCAGAATAAACCCACTTGTTCACCCGATCCTCCATACTCTCCCAACCCCAAACATCCACCGGCCCACTCTCGAAGACACCCTCCTTCTCTCCGCCCTCGGCCACCTCCCCAAGACAGATCATCTGCGCATCCCACTCCATCCCGACCTCAAACCC